CCTTATCATAACCTGCACACCCGTTTACCTAAATATACATGAACTTACGGTTACAGCTCAACAGCTGGCCTCTGTAGCTCAGTTGGTTAGAGCACTGCACCGGAATTGCAGTGCCGTAGGTTCAATTCCTACCAGAGGACCTTGTGCTGCATTTTTCGCAGTCGTTCCTGGTAAGGTCTTAAAATGTATATATTCTCATTGGATTACAAACCCTAACATTCTAATATTAAGTCCACCATGTGAAGTGCCAGAATCCAAATTATTGAAGTCTACCTTATCATAACCTGCACACCCGTTTACCTAAATATACATGAACTTACGGTTACAGCTCAACAGCTGGCCTCTGTAGCTCAGTTGGTTAGAGCACTGCACCGGAATTGCAGTGCCGTAGGTTCAATTCCTACCAGAGGACCTTGTGCTGCATTTTTCGCAGTCGTTCCTGGTAAGGTCTTAAAATGTATATATTCTCATTGGATTACAAACCCTAACATTCTAATATTAAGTCCACCATGTGAAGTGCCAGAATCCAAATTATTGAAGTCTACCTTATCATAACCTGCACACCCGTTTACCTAAATATACATGAACTTACGGTTACAGCTCAACAGCTGGCCTCTGTAGCTCAGTTGGTTAGAGCACTGCACCGGAATTGCAGTGCCGTAGGTTCAATTCCTACCAGAGGACCTTGTGCTGCATTTTTCGCAGTCGTTCCTGGTAAGGTCTTAAAATGTATATATTCTCATTGGATTACAAACCCTAACATTCTAATATTAAGTCCACCATGTGAAGTGCCAGAATCCAAATTATTGAAGTCTACCTTATCATAACCTGCACACCCGTTTACCTAAATATACATGAACTTACGGTTACAGCTCAACAGCTGGCCTCTGTAGCTCAGTTGGTTAGAGCACTGCACCGGAATTGCAGTGCCGTAGGTTCAATTCCTACCAGAGGACCTTGTGCTGCATTTTTCGCAGTCGTTCCTGGTAAGGTCTTAAAATGTATATATTCTC